ACCCAGAAAGATATATATATATCACACAATACATTTCTAAGCAGCTGGAGGATTACAAGGTCTTAAGAAACTAACTAAGATTTGTCAAGAATAAACAAATCATGTCAAACTCGCCTAACTTATTTCTGTGACAGGATAATCTAAAAAGTAGTAGATGTGATTTATCTTGCCTTTAGTAAGACTTCTGGTGCTGTCCCACATGATCTTCTTGTGAGCTAACTGGGAAAATAGGGGCTATTATGAAATTATTGTAATGGGAAAGCAGAGTGAGGTGAAAAATCTTGCATACTGAGCACTCTTATTTATCAGAGGTTCTCTGGCCACCTGAAAAGCATAACAAAGCAGCCAAGAGAAGGCTGTCCTTTGTGTTTCGTGCTGTTCACCGTTTGCATTAGTAACCTGGATGATGAGTATGGGCATGTTTATACATGTGAATGAATCAAGGCTGAGAGAAATATTTCTAGGAGAAATATTTTTAAATTAGGAAAGTAAAATCCATTAAGAAATACACAAAGAACTGGACTGAAAAAGGAACTGAGTGCACACATATAAATGGGGAATTACTGCCCAGGCAGTAATAGTTTGGAAAGGATTGGAGGAATCATAGTGGCTCAGAAAATGAAGGGAAGTCAATAGCATGGATATTTGTCTGAATTAACAGGAGTGGCATATGTAAGACAGCAGAAGTAATTGCTTGATTCCACTTGGCATTGCTTAGGCTTTTACTGGTACAGATATCTAGGTCTAGGCACCATCCTTAAGAAAGAATGCCAAGTGGAAAAAACATCACTTGGACATTACTAAAAAAAAAGGCATATCCGAATTTGTGGAACTGATTATCAGCAATTTATCTCTCCAGATTTGAGCTGAGACGTGGTGGTGGACTGCAAGGCATTTGCTTGTTCTGCTGCTCTTCATGTGAATGCATCCTACTGCCATTCCAGAAGTGGCTGTATTAATACTGTTTTACAATAAACACAACAGTTATAAAAGCATTAATATCCACCGTGCCCTTTGGGATATAAAGCAAATACAATGTACCAGTAAGGCTAAAGGGATAGATGCAAGTCAGTGTAACAATCGCTGAAGTGAAACCTATTCGCAATGTGAATGGTTTGCATACTGCATAGATTAGACCAACAGAGCTGCTTCCCAGTCGTTCAAGTATAGCATCGAAACCCACTCATTAGAAGTTTAAATGACACCATATGTACCCACTGCAGCACAGCACAAGGCATACTGGTGTTACAAAGTAAAAGTGGATCTCAGTCCAGCTGTTATCATTTAAAGTGAAGTCCAATTCTGGGTAGCTCTTTTCGGTGATTCCCCTTTCTATTGAAGATACCAAGACAAAATGCCAAAAAAAAAAAAAAGGTATGCTACATCCACATCCATAAAGTTTATCAACTTACAGACTCCAGGACAGGTATATCATTCATCGTTTTGCACCAGTAAGCACAGTAATATACAAAAGCATGCAGAATCACTTATGGTACAGAAAGATCCTGTAACTTGACTCTTCAAGTAATTGGCGAACATTCAAACCACTCCTATTTTTCTAGGAAGATAATTCCTGAGATGTAAAGTTGAGTTGTATGTTGGCACTTTCAAAGTCACTGTACTTCGGTGAAGCATACAGAAACAACTTGGTAGGGACATAGCAAAACAGGAGCAAAATGTTATCTAATACAGATACTCAGAGGCAAGAAATGATCATGGGGTTAAATTACAGTAAGCGGTGGGCTTTTTTATTTTGTTGAAAAGTACATCTTTTACTGGATTCAACATAGTAATAAGATGAAAAGAGGTCCACTGGCAAGGGAGGAAAAAAAGCAAAAGTTTGGAAATACTTGACACAACTGAAATAAATGACAGCGTTTTCAATATCTCATAGGCAGGCTGTAGTAGATGATGTTTTCCCGTATGCATGGAGAAAGTAAAGTCTTTGACTTCTATCAGTCAGTTTAGCACAAATGCTGGTCTATCTAGGTAAAACCTGCGCTACTTGTTTCTTTTAATAGATAATATAGGTAATATCTAGCTTTCACTCTGAACCCATGCTTTAACACTCAGAATTTATCCATATTTAATTACAATTTTATCACACTTTTCTAATCAAATAAATTTACTTTGTCCTCCAAGCAATCACCTCAGTATTCCAGTATGTAAAAAATACTTTCATTATGTTTATTATAAAAATATAAATGTTTCCACTACAAATCATTTTACATTAGTAAGAGGCCATCTACAATTGCACAATATATAATCTAAATGAGTAAGTAATGCTTTGAAATACAAGTTAACGTAAATACATACTGCCAATCAAATCACATCTATACATTGCTTATTGAATGCTAAGTAACAGCACAAATCTAGATATGTTAACAGAAATAAATAAAATTGAAACTATATTTAAGGATACAAAACCAATAATACCGCATGTCATTTTATGAGTAGTTGCGCTTTGCTTGATGTCGCTAACCGATGCAAGTCCTGTACAGGAAGATGGCCACATGAATTCTAGTATCTCTACTCCACAATGAAGAATTGTACACTGCTATGTATACATATGTACACGGGGACAGGGAGTATAGGATGCTTGCAACAGAGGCCACTTACAGTACAAATCAACTTTTAACAGGAAGAGAAATCTAAATGTATTTTAAAACTCTCTACTCCTAATAGCAAAGAAAAGCAAAATTGGGTTTCTTTTTTCCCAAGCATCAGTGAGATTTAATCTTTTATGCTCAGCATGCTCAAACAGCAGGCAAGGAACACAACAGGGAAAATTGAGGGTGGTTGGTGCAAAGTTTTCAGTCATCATCTAAAACTCTAAGAACTGGTTCTGTGTTTTCGGAAGCATTTCACAGATGTCTGCCCCCTCGCCCCAGCCCCCTCTCCCCCACTCTCCAGCGGCAGAATGAAGCTGAAGAGAAACTTCACGAAAAATGTGTTATAAAAAGCTGTACCCACATAGACAATGTCTGCAAATGGATTTTGGTGACTTACATTCACTAACAATGTCTGATTTAGAGCAATCTCAAACTGAAGAAAAGAAAGATTCTGAATGAACTAAACAATGGAAATACAGCTTTTCTATGCAGCATGCTGCATTTCACGATAGATTGTGGCAGATAAGGAGAAGTGTTCTTTACATCTTAAGTGCTTTATTTTAATTTTCTTCCACTTTTCATTTTTTATTTCAACTAACTTTAAAACCCAGTCATTTTTCTTTCAGAAAATATTATTAATTATTATCCTGTGAGTGTGTTTCAAATCCAGTCCTTTACAGCATGCTCACTGCCAGCACTCATTAAAATGTCTCTAATTCTGCTTCTATTTAGCAACGTGTGACAAATGTTGTGTCTCTACCTTTTATAAGTCCTGGACCCACGAACAACAATTTAAAAGCTGATTCGGCCACGCAAATCCTAAGAACTGATTTTTCCCTTAGTTACGTGTCCTGTGTTACAAGGAGCTTCAAAAACCAAACCAATACAACAAGGAATGCACAACTAGTTACCTGCTTTTGCACGCACAGCGAAATGTGGCATGCCATACAGCCATCTGCCTCTCACACAGTCTTGGACTTTCAGGGACTCACTGTTATTCATCAGAATCAGGTTTAGATTCCAGCATGGCAAGTTGGGAATCAGAGTGGTTTCCACTAGTGCCCAAAGCCTCACGTCTGTGTGCCTGGCATCACATCTAGAGTGTTAAGAAGCTTGTCTGTACATAGCAGAAGTGCCTCACGCTGCAAGTTAGACCACTCATTTTCAGAGTGAAGAGTCGCATCTGCTCAGAACTGGGACCGATGTGCTCCAGGAGCAGCAGCTTAAGAGCTCGCTATTGGGAAGATGCTGAAGATGGGGGAGGACTCTCGAATCCCACCTTCAAGGCTCCTTTTTCCACCAGGAAATGTGAATGCTCTCCTAAAGATAGGCTCCTTTCTGCTTTCTTTCAAGGAACAGGTGCCTAAGGAACCTGTGCCAAAAAGCAAGGCTCCTGCAGGATGGCAGTGCCTGGACATATGTCTTCTAGCTCAGACTTGGGTAAAATTACATACCAAAGTCCCATTTCACAAGCTTAAGTCATCCTTTTCAACTATCCGCTTATCCTTGGCTGCAAGTCACCCTCTTGGCGTAACTACCTGCAGCTGCCCACACAGTAGTACACCTCCAATTCCCAGCATCAGGAGCAGAGCCTGCCAGGTGGAAGCCAGAAATGGACCACTCCCCAGGGACCTCAAAAAGCATCCTCAGTTAATGCAGGATTCAACCCTGACTCCTTTTAGTATTTGCTAGGCAAATCTCCCACCTGAACACCACCCGAGAACAGGGGTCCTTATTTTGACAGGGAAGCAGGCCTTTGGGAAGTAAATGAGATGTACGTACCTGACCGGGTCAGCTACTGAGCTAGAGATCGATATGCACACAACTCTGCCAGAACTCAAGCCAGGGTTAAATTACCACTCACAGCAAATGGAAGGAATCTCAAAAAGTCCAGATACTTTGTCTAGCATCAGAACGGGAAAAACGACCATCTTTCTTTCCTTCTGTATTTCATATATGATGGGTATAAAATAATCTAGTAATTAACCCTCAGACAATTTCTCAGGTTGAACCAATGAAGATTCGATAAGATTTGGCACTCGGCAATAATACAGCTAGGTTAAGGTATTTAAGCATAAAGGTAAACAATAATGAAAAAAAAAACCAGAAGAAATAAATAAGTTTTTTAAAAATTAAGACTTGTTTCTATTTAAATGAACACAATTAGGGAAGCTAACATAATGGCGAAAATCTTTTGTCAACTAACTCAAAGTCACTACAAACTTTATTTCTGTGTTCCTTTCTGAAGTTGAAATAGCATGTTACAATGACATTATAGTAAATATGGCCAGACAGGTAGTGAGGTATAGTCCTCTATTTTCCTTGCTTTTAAAGAAATAAAATACCTGTTACAGATCTCTTCTGTATAAAAATACTGCAAGTCTTTCTTTCTTCTTGTTTGCTGTATAGATCAAATACACAGCTTTTACGTCCATGGGTTTTTCGTGTTATTCAGTCACTTAATATTCAAATGGCTCTAGGTTTTAGTATCACTGTTTTTTACTTGGAAGGACTTTTTACATATTTTTTTCTTTTGAAATTTACTATCTGCATTAACAGTCAGTCAAGAGCACCCACCCTTTAGGATTAACAGATAGAAAACAAGTTCACTCCTCTTTTTAAGGCATTTATACTCAGTATTTGAGTGTCTTAGTGGGTTTGAAATTTCAACCGTTACGTTTCCAAAGCTGTTGCAAAGAACTCCTTTAAATTCTGCCGTTTACCAGCCATCACTTTTGCCCTGTGATGCAACTTTTCTCTTTTTTTCTCTCCTGAGCAACATCATTTTGGTACTTTACACAGGAACAGGGCTGTTCTTTGTATGAGTTTCTAGAGCTTTGATACTGCTAACAATCTTCTTTTGAGGCCCCACAACTGTAACGCCGACTTTCTTCATGTCACTGGAAAAAAGAGAAGATGCACCAGGTGAGTGAGCATACTGTCTCTGTGTTTCCTAGGGCTGATGGGAGCAAACAGAAATCAACTCGTGCATCTTATATCGCCACATTGGAGGAGTCTCCAGGTATGGCAATACCGCTGAAACACAAACCTTGGTACGAAAAATACTAAGAGCCATTGCACGAAAACAGCAGGCAGCCGCAAAAAAGAGTAAAACCTCATTTAGCCTTGTTGTGCATGCTTACCTGGAAGAAAAGACAATGAAACAGCGTTCTGCAGCGATGCATGCACTGGGACCTAGGGGCAAGCGGTTCACTTCTGGGCCAGCTGTGATCCTGAGCCTCTCTACCGTCTCCATCCCTCTATCAGGCTGATCGCTTGTCCTGAGCAGTGCTGACATCTTGCTATTACTTGCTGAGCCCCCTGAATGGCCATCTTAACTCTGGTATCAGCATTGAGGTTAACGGCTACATGGCCAAGCTTCCAGCATCTACCCTGTTTGTCACCTCTCCTTTCTACAGGCCGTCCAGTCTCTTTGTTCCTTGTGCGACACAGAAGTGGTTTAAGACTTGCGAGGGGCTAACCCAGGCTTACAGGAAATTGGGCATTCCTAGAGGATTTCTGCACTGTCCCCAAAGGGTAGTTGTTACAAAAAGCCATTAGCAGCCTTTTTATAGTTGCAATAATACACTAATTAATGGCATTGACATGTTTAATTGTCGGTACCGCAGCTGCTGCTTACTTCTTCATAACTTGTCATGTATCCAGCTAGCCCAACAGGGAGTCAAGATTTCCTCTGACAGTAAGTTCAAAACTGTACTTGATGCCTTTTCAGATGCAGAGAGAACATTACCCTGCTCTTCCTTATCACAAGAACAAAGGCAGATTGCATTTAAATGTAATAAACTTGTAAGTTGTAAACTTACAAGATTAGCATGTTTAAATGTCAAAACTGGGAGGGAATTCATCCCCTGAATAATTATTACCATGTAGGAGGAAAGCAGCTACATAGTGCTTGCTCTGTCTCACCTGATTTGATGGAATATGGGATGGGCAATAAAGGAAAACATTGGCACATGTGTCAGCTGTCGGGAAACCCCCACATAAAAGGCAGAATATAAAGAATCAACACAGAAACTCCTAAACTGTGAATGGAAGAAAGTACCAGATGATACATGGTGCTACTGCATCAGAAGAAATTGGGAATTTCCTTGGCATCAGTGAGAAAAAGCTACGGGACCGTGGCCTTCACATAATCTCCAGAGCATCTAGGTTTCCTGCATGTGTATTGCAGCTACAACAATAATTCACATTTGTCTCTTTAAATGTAAGAATATTTTAGCTAAAAACTGAAAACTCCGTATAAAAATGCTACTCTTACACTTATGTTCAAACTTGTACCTCCAGCCACAACCAATGGTGAAGAGCTGTAGTCAATTCAAACTTACTCTGTAGAAATCTTGGCTATTGTATCACAAGAGCTGTACTCCACGCCCGTGAAAATGTCTTTGCATTGTCCTGTCCGAAAACCATTGAGCCAATCACCTGTCGTGCGGAAGGCTGAAATGTCAATGTTACTTTGGTCCAGGAGAAGATTTGATGGCCTGAAATAAAAAAGAATGTGATGAAAGTTAGGGAGCAGGGATATGTATGGATTTATTTTGTGTCTAGACTTAGCACTGGCATCGGCAGGAGCTTCCAGGCTAGACGTGGCTTTTCTGTTTGTCTGTGGAAGTTATCTGCTGCCGAGGCCACCACATGTACTTATGCTGGCAGCTCTGACAAACGCTGCGTAATCATCTTGCTTAAGAGTGCCGGCTTCTCATGTCCACTTTTAAATCACTGAAGCATCACCATGATGTATTGTTACCTTACAATTTAACATGTGAAGCATTAGCAAAGGCAAGCTTGCTGCTATCAAGTTAGAAGCACAAGTAGTAAGACACTAGTGGCTTTAAAAATATTGTATCAAGTCTAAGAATCAAACGTTAAGTGAATTTGTGAGACAAATGTAACTGCGCAAGACTTGCATTCTGCAGTGCACAGAGGCAGAAATGAGGGAATTTTTTATCAAATACACTTAGCCAAATGTAAAATGCAATTGCCATTTCCAGTTTGAAATTGATGCTCACTCTAAGATTGAAACTTCCATAAGGATATCATACAAATAAATTAGAAATGAAAACTGAATCATCTGCCTTTGAAATTAACTTGGTGCTCACGAAGGATGCTGAACTGACATGATTTGCATCCAAGTTCTCTACTTAGAAAACAATGAAGAAACCACTAAGAAACAAACAAAACCAACACAATGAATCAAACAAAACATATGTCCATGCTGCTTTGCCCATTTAAACCTTTTTCCATCTGCCTAAGTCTACCTGTAAGATATTGAGAAAAAAAAATCCTTCTTGAAATAACGATTAAATGTATAGTTTTTTATCAAGAAGGAATATATTGCAGCTGACCCTGCACTTTGCATATTGTAAATGGCAAAAATGGCTGCTCCCATATTGATCCAGAAATTCAGTTCTGTGTGGTATGAATACTGTTGTTTTCATGGTCTTGTGAGCATACTGTAATTTCTTATTTGAGAGCATCAAGACTAAAAATAAATGCCAGCCCTTCCCCATGAAGTCACTAGATTCAGGCTCTACCACACCTCATTTTAGCCGTCTAAAAATATCACAAATAGGCCCAGCTAGTTTTCTGAACTGTTGCTGCAGTCCATCACTACACACATTTCCATGCAGGGTGTTTGTCCTCCCTGAAACAGGTCTTCCAGGCAAACAGCTTGGAGGAGACTCCCAGCTCTCAGAGAGGCGAACCTGTTCTCAGCTGCTCCTCCTCACTGACTTGCTATTTTTACTGAGGTGTGAGAAGCCCCTGAATAGCAATACGATCAGTAATTTCTTTCTACTGACGTGACATCTTATTAATTCCAGTTATGTTTCTCTCTCAGTGCTAATTAGTACAATAACGACTTCCTCGACTAGTCAGATGTTATTAGAGACATCAACTCTATTTCTGCATTTCTCCCTCCACTAATAAGCATATGTCCATACTGGACAGCTTTTTAGCCCCCATTCAGAAACATATGTGCTCCATTTTAAGTAGAGTACTTATCTTAGGCTTAAGGCTAAGCATGTGCTTAGCTGTGCTGCTATGATGGTGCTACTCATGAGCACAGGAGACTGAACTAGAGGATGTTCAAAGCAGTTAGCAGTGCAACTTTACAGTCTATTTTCTGCCCCATAATTCTTTTTCCCCATGGCTCTAGTGAAACATCACCTGCAGAGGAGTCTGACGACTACAGCTAAATCCATCTGAAGTGACTTTTGTCACTGGAAAGAAGTGAAAATGAGAGGTTGTTAGACTAACACTGTAATTTAAAGGCAGTGATTACGCAGTGCAACGGGTAGGTGACTGTTACTGGTACTGGAGAACTGATCTGGATTGTAAAACACCCTCTTCACCCCAAACCCAAGCCATCTCTGAGCACTGGAAAAAACATAAAGGGGGAGATTGTAAAGGCACCAAAGAGAAAAAAGTGTCTAAATACCAGTGAATAAGCAGCCTAGAAAATCCAAACAAGGCTTCTCAATCCCAACACAAGTCTTCATTAAGTTTCATCAAGAAGAGCAGCACTGCAATAGTACACCCTTGCAGTACATGTGACTTGCACTGGAATGAGGAGATACCACATCAGGTATACCAAGACATTTACCTTTCACCTTTGAAGAAAAGAACAATATAGCTTTGCTAAACAATAACTCTTGGTATTTTCTACATATTAAACAGCACCTTCTACTTCTGATGTTTTGCCAATTGTTATCAATCAGCTGATTTCTTTCAGGCTCAGAAAATTATTTTAATATCTTCTTCCCTTCTGGTATTGCAGGCCATAATTAAAGAGCTCATTAGATGCTTGAAAATCTTAACTTCAAAACCACAAATGGACATAACACCACTGTAGATTCACCATCAATTTTCACCAGGTCTCAGAGCAGCGATATTCCTGATCAGGCACCTTTTGCCTAACTTCCCTCTGGAGCCCAGCCAGGACAAGGAGCTGCTGCGAATGACCGTGATCACTGGCACCAACTATGGACCTCACATCCTGGGAACAGCTGTAGACAGAAAGGAAAGTGACAGAAGACACCAGAAACCTGCTCTGCCCCCAAAACAGTAAAGAAGGGAAAGCACAGCATGGCCACACTGACACAAAGACTGAGCTGAGGACAGAAGATGCAGCACACTTCAGGTTACTGTTCTCATGCTAAAACTAGATCTTAGGCTCCTATGTGATATACAGCTTTAAACGCCCTCCAGTTAAAGGCTCAGGTTAGATAATCAGGCCCAAAATATTTTTATTCAGTAGCTGTACAGCCTGCGTCTCCCTGACTACTGTTTGTCCCATGAAGAGCCAATGCTTTTTATTTATAGTTTTCTGGGTATAGTGTCTGGAATCCCAAGACATTTATTAAGAGTATTTATGAAGTGTTCTTAGTGATAAAGCATGGAGATTTTTTTTTCCAGCCTAGAATGTCTTTTCAACTTAAATCTAATAAAATAAGGCCTGACTCAGGAATCACTAATTGAAAAAAAAGTATAAACAAGTTGAAATAGAACAGGTCTCTAGGATTAGGAATTAGAGTGGCCCAAAAGAGCTTTTATGTTTATTACTTGGATGAAAGTATCATCAGGACAAAAATATGACCTAATTTTAATGCAAGTGACCTCAGAATAACCAGCACTGTAAAGTATCATTTTTCTCCTTGTAGGATTCCAAACAAAAATTAGTTACTTTCCTCCTCAGAGAGGACATCTGGACAGTTTATCAATGAACAGGAATTTGTCTCACTGTGAAGAGTCTGTGATGTCTCCTTGCATGCACCAAGGGAAAGCTGGGCTTTCAGAGCATCTGCACACATCGGCAGTTTTTCTTCCCCTGACCCAGCCCCTAGACAGAAGGTCTGAACGTGAAATTTATGGTCTGGGTGATGTCCGCCATGAGCTCACACTTTACTAGACAAATTAGATGGGTTGCAATCCGTGCAGCTGTAAACGACGTCCTGCAGGGTTCCACCTGATCTTTTACAGCTTTTCATAAATCAGTACCTACTAGCTTCAGCAGAGAGTCATTAAAAAGAAATCATGGAAATTACATGTTTGCTCAGGGGAAGTGAAATAGAACATTTGCCTCTGTCTTTTCTTTTCTTCTCTTCTCTCCTTTTTTTTTTTTTTGAACTCTCTTTTTTTTGTTGCTTTGACCAACTATGATATACCCCCTTCATGTTATCTTTCAACAGTCATAGAAAGACTTTCTATCCTGTTCATCCTGACTGTGTGTCTATCTATGGAGTTGTATTTACTGACATGTGGTGCCCTGAAAAAAATCAGCAAGACTCGGGTTAGAAAGACAAATTTAACAGTGAGATGCCAGTTACAAAATGCCCTGTTGCTGAAAGCTTTCTCTGGATGTGCCCATTATGTTAACAGTTGGAATTAACCTTTGAGTCATCCGCAGTAGCAGGGAGAACTATAGTTTGTAATCATTAGTACAGCTTTTTGTCACAACACAGGGAAAGTTTTCCCGCACCATATAGTAATGAGAAAGACCACAGAAAACATCATTAGAACCCTTCCCAATATGGCATGGAAATCTTGTCTCTGGTCGGCTGCTGCCTGGCGAGAAAGGGATACATTAACTTGTAAAATCCAGGAACTGAGACAAATAAAAGGAAAATGTCCTGCCATTTCTTCTGCACAAAGGGTAGCATTCTGCAAATACACAGAGTTGTGCACACACGATCTGCGGGTTTGTATTGCAATAGCCTCTCTCTTTCCATCCCTTCCTCCAAACAACAAAACTAACCTTCAGTTTTTAAATCTGGACTTCTGCAAAATGATACATCCCTCTAAATGTCACCCTGGACTTCTTATTTTCTAGCTCCATGTTGTCTGTTGACAAAAAACTTATCACAGCTTCCTCTAGGATAATGAGTAAATAAAATTTCAAATGCCACATAGGTCAGTCCTCCAGTCTTCCCTACTCCTTTAGCTGCCCCTCAGAACATGCTTTTCAAGGGGCTTATATCTTTTCAGCATCCTGGTGGGGTAATAAATCATATGCCTGGGTGTATCAATGCTCCTCAATTTACTTTTTCCCCCCACCAAAGCCACTGAAGGCAAAAAATACCAGCACGTTGCTGAAATGGCTTTCTTTTTCTCATAATACAGCTTAAGCTGTGCTTTTAAGCTGCAGAAGTAACATCACATGGCCATTTCCTGGGATTCGTAGTTGGCCCAGAGACAGACCCTTAACGACAACCAGTCATTATTGTTAGGACCGTCTATAGGGTCTTTAAAAGAGGGAGAGAAAAATGCCTCAAAGAGCTTTTAAAATGCTTCTCTGGCTCTTTGCATTTACCATTTGATGTGTATGACTTGCTCTTATCTCTCTTATATCTTATATATTTGGCTGCACTATGAATTTCTACAGATGTTCGCTACCACATTCACGGCATCAGGCAACGGCTCCGTGCAGTTTCTTTTTCCAGCATTTCCAGCGCAGAATTGCCATTAATGCTAACGAGGGCTT